GGGAACATGCCCGACAGCTTGGCCTGCTCAGCGGTGATGTTCTCGTAGCCTGCAGGCTTGATGTCCCATTGCGTCATGCGACGCTCGCGCTTCTGGATGTTTGTGAAGGTAGTAAGGTCTGGTGTGGCCTCGCGCGGCTTGTTGAATGGCGGAGACTCCTCTTTTTGAGCACGCATCCTATCACGTCCGCCGCCAAAGCCTCCATCGCGTCCTCCCCGTCCGCCTCTGCGCTCTTCGCCTCCGAATCGGTCGCCGCCCCTTTCGTTGCGGTCTCCGCGTTCCCGTCGGTGGCCACGGTCGTCGTCGCGGTCGCGGTCTCCTCCTCGAGGTCGGTCGCGTCGGGAGTAGGAATCGCCCCAGGCACCGCGCTCGGCACCACGCTCTGCTCCACGCTCGCCCCGGTCATCGCGCCGCTCACGGCGGGCGTATGTGTCTTCGCGCTCACGCTCACGGTAGTCGCGGCTGGAAGAGTACGTGTCTACCTCGTAGTCGCGGCGGGAGCCTCCGCCGTGGCGTGGGGAGCGGGAGCGACGGCGGCGCCTGTCGCCACCACGGTCGCCCCGTTCGCCGCGATCGCGATGGTCATCTCTCGAGGACTGTTCAGTCAGCGTACGCTCGCTTTTGTCGCGACGAGTGTCGGCACTCACGTAGTTGCGCGATCCGCTTGATCGGCCACCGTCTGCTTTTGTTAGTCTTGATTCTGGGAGCTGTGCACTAGTCAGTACGTGTACTGATAGACTCGCTTACCTCTGGAATAGCTATCGCCGTTCATGGTGGGCGGTTGTGGCTGCTAGGAGCTCTTGCGCCGTCGTGTGTTCAGCCGCGTGAGATGCTGCTGCTGTCGGGGGTGAGATGGCGAGAGAAGCTGCAATTAGCAGATCTGATCAAGAAACAGTGGATGAATCAGCAACTCGCAACAGTCCCGGCTCTAGGACGCGATGCTTGTGCGGAGGTTGCGGTTGCCGTCGCGGAAAACGTGTGAGAGAAAGTCGGGGCCTGCCTTAGCGCGCCGTTCCCTTGGCGCCTTACCCCTGTCACCGAGGCCAGACCATGATGCATCATTCACTCCTGGCGCAGACCGCGACTATAACGACAATGGCTTTACGCGCTGCTGAGTGGCACAAGCTGCCTACAAGCCTCACTGAGCTATGCATCAATACGACTTTGCGATGTGGACAATCATTCAGGTATCTTTCCCTGCCTCAGTACTCGAGTCGCAACATTTCCTAACCTGCGACCAGATGGCGCAAGTCAGCTGATGACGTGTGGTCAATGGCTCTCCATGGTCGCATACTGTCCCTCCGTCAGGATGCCGAATATCTCCACTATCGCGCCACGTACCCGCCTGTCACCACCGCTCTCCCTACGCCACCTCCTTCCAAAGCTCCCTCGGTCGCCCCCGAAGAAGACGATACCGCTGCTCTTATCAAACACTACTTCAACCTCGCGCCCAATCTTGGCCAGTTATATGAACAATGGGCAGCCTCCGACGCCAACTTCAAGAAGCGCGCGCCCAAATTCACAGGCATACGGATTCTGCGGCAGGACGCTTGGGAGGCACTCATCGGCTTCATATGCAGTAGCAACAACAACATCAGTCGCATATCGGGCATGGTGCACAATCTTTGCTTGCACTACGGACCACATATAGGCACCATCGACGACATACCCTACCACGACTTCCCCACACCCGATGCCCTCTCAGGCCCCGACGTCGAAGCGCATCTCATGAAGCTTGGTTTTGGATACCGCGCTAAATACATCGCAAAGACTGCTCGAATGGTCTCCGAGGACAAAGGCTTGAAGTGGTTGGAGGACCTGAGCAATCCAGAGTGTCCGCAGTTTGGCATGGAAGAGAAGCCCGCCGGAGAGATGCTCGAAGGTGGTCGAGAAGGATACCGGCAAGCACATGAGGAGCTCCTTGCCCTCCACGGCGTGGGTCCAAAGGTCGCAGACTGTGTGTGCCTCTTCGGGCTCGGCTGGTCCGAGTCTGTACCCGTCGACACCCATGTCTGGCAGATTGCACAGAAAGACTACAGGTTCGGCAAGGGCAAGCATAGTAGCTTGACTGCTGCTACGTACGCTGCCATTGGAAACCTGTTTCGGAAGTTGTGGGGTAAAGAAGCTGGATGGGCGCATTCCGTCTTGTTCACGGCGGACCTAAAGACATTCTCGGATAGGGTCGTTGCGAAGGTCGAGGTGAAGGAAGAGGAGGTCACAATAAAGAAGGAGGAAGAGGACATTGTTCTGGAAGAGACAGTCAAGAAGGAGGTTGTCAAGCGGAAGCGTATAAAGAAGGAGCCCGAGGAGCCGACCGTGATAGTGAAAAAAGAGGGAACTCGCAGGAGCAAACGACAACGAGCTTAGACTAGTTCTGCAATCAACACGGCAATAACCTCATCTCCACGGCTGCCAGTCACTATAGTGTCACGTTCCACGACTCTATCGCTCGAGCAAAAAAAGGTCCTTGCTATTCGGAGTGGTAAATAGAAGGTCAAAACATACAACAGCGGAGAGCAACCAGTGGTCACGGTGAAGCACGAAGGCACACGCAGGAGCAACCGACAAAGAACATAGACCAGCCCTACAATCAACAAGTCAGTACCCTTATCCTCGTACACCTGGGCAGCTCATTGCTGCCAGTCACCCTAGTGTCGCGTTCGACTATGACACCACGGTAGCTAAAAAATTCCTCTTTTCTGCCATCGACACGCAAAAAAGTGCAAAAACATACAACAGCGCGTATTCCCCGGTGGTCACCCACCCGAGTACTAATGCGCCGGTATCATGCTTGTATATGGCTGAGCGGACGGGAAGCCTAATTCTCATGATCCTATGGTCGTATGTGAAGGAATGGGCGTTTTGGGGATATACGTAGGGAGACACCACCGAAAGTTCACCTCAAGGCCACACTGCTTAGGAACACTAATTCAATATAAGTAGACACCTAATGCACATCATCGGTGGCACTTCGGCCCGTAAACTGTAACCGTTGCGGACTTCACTAGCTTTAGATGCAGACCCACACTTTTCGGGCACTTGGGAAGCGACGACTGTACATCTGACTCCTTCCCCACTACCATCTTCTCTATCTAGAACTTGACTATGCGACACGAACATCGCGGATACTTTTCGAGACTCCAGACATCGATGTCCTACACTGCGATGTTGCTACTGGAAACATTTTTGCCTTCGGGTAGTGACGATGGTCTCAGCTTGGTCCATAAGTTGACCGATCGTCTCCAATAACCTCCCAAAACTCCTCGACAATCTCTTTCTGTCCACTGGACGCCGGTCTGACAGCTAAGTATCTTCGATTGTCAATGGGTGGGAACCAGTCACCCGGATGTCCATCCACGATCATCCCACCAGCTTCGTTCAGGATACACCATGACGCAGCGACGTCCCATGCCCAACACCCACACTCCCAAAATATGTCCTGTTGTCCTGCTGCAATCCTGCAGATCGTCATCGCGGCCGAACCGGTGCAGCGGAGCGAGTTAACGAATCGCCCGCCGGTTGCTTTGGTTCTAGCAAGAGTCGTGAAGACTTTTAAGTTCAGCTCAAAATTGACACCTTCGCGATCGCTACCCCATTCAATTCCGATACAAGCAGGGCCGAGCCCATTCAATGGACTATTGCTAAGTGGAAGTTTCTCCGACTTTGACCCTCGATGAACGAAAGCGCCGCAGCCTTTGATTGCGGTATAGAGTTCATCCAAGAACGGGTTGTAGACAACGCCAACTGTGGGCTGTCTCTTTACGACAAGGCCGATCGAAACACACACCGCTGGAAACCCATGAACAAAGTTTGATGTTCCGTCGATTGGATCAACGATAAAAGTTGGGGCGTTGGTGATGGGAGTACCGGAGGTGTACGTCTCTTCCCCGATGAAGGCAAACATGGGGTACTTCGCCTCTAACGAGCGCGATATCAGCGTCTCCACAGCCTTGTCGGTATCCGTCACAATATCGGCAGCTGAAAAGTATTAGCCAATACGATGTTCTGCCTTTGAGAGCTATCGACATACTATTCTTTTTGGACAGGTTGTCGAAGCTCGAAGGGTTTGCCGCTACAATGATCTGGCCACATTGTCTAGCAAGGCTGACGATAAAGTCTTGGATCTCCGATAAGGGCACGTTTAGCGAAGGCATGGTGCTGAGTTGTTGTATCGGCACCTTGGATGAAGTGCATTCAAGAGGAAGAGAAGGACAAAATGCCGTCAGGCTGGATTGATGTGCGTCAGCTGAACTCAGACGACCTATGATCGGTGAATTCGGGCGCAGTTCTTAGGTCGAAATTGCATCCACGGCCCGCAAATGGTTCTCAGGCGGTCTCGGCTAGCTGACCTGCAACGCCGGCATAACTATCCCACACATCAAGTTGCGATTTGACGCGCATGTATGGCTAATGTGTACCTAGGCTAGCGCAATGTCTTGCTCCGCGGAGTTAGTCACCATATTGCTACTGCCATTCTTTCAGATGCATCTTGTAATGTAGCACTATAGGCCCCTAGGATACCATCAAAGCTAGCCTCGACTACTGGGCTAATTCTACGGGCGCACAACGAGACGCGAGCTACGGGAGCGAATGTCTCGGGCGACAGACTCACATTATATTGTATTCCGGTCACAAAAAAGCCACAAAGGCTGAGGCTTCACATGATGGTTTTGCAAACGAACGATTCGTCCGCGATTGCCAAGGTAGATTGTACGGCGGCCTGCCTGGAGCATGCAGACAACGACATTGGTGGAAGGCGGACCAACGCATGTCGTGAGGCTTGCTGTCCCCGTGGCCGTGGCCAAGTTAGCCCTATCAAATCGTCTTTGACACCTCGGGCGAAGCCTTCACGCGGCATGTTGTACTTTTATGTGCAGCCTTCGAGTCTCGTCGCTCAACCTGCTACAGCCTGATCTTGTTAAGGTTTGGAAACACCCTTTCATCAACTATCCACTATCATTCGGTTGTTTGATTCAAACTTGAATCCTCGCGTTTGCGACATGGCGTTTTTCGACTCAATCCGTTTGAAGGAAGGCAAAAGGTCCGCTCGGTTCATTCAGCTTCATGTCTCCGACTCATCCGAAGAACCGGGCGAACTTTTCATTCGAGGCACGCTCAACGTATTCTTCCTGGACGAGGCCCCCGAGTATGAGGCTTTATCGTACACATGGGGTAAAGAAGGCCAGCGAATCGACATCCAGCTGAACAACCAAAGCTTCTCAGTGTCGCCTAACTTATATGCTGCGTTGCGACAGTTCAGCCGCGGTCAGAAAGGTGCGTTACCTAGGAGGCTCTGGATCGATGCGATCTGCATAAATCAGAGGGACAACGATGAAAAGTCGAAACAGGTCATGCAAATGACTGAGATCTACACAAAAGCAAGAAGGGTTCTGTTGTGGCTAGGCGACCCGGACGAGTTCACGAGTCTAGCATTCGATACCCTACGACGCTTCGCTCGAGACGACGGGACTACGGACGGCAGTGTCACATATCGCGATTTACTTGCTACACGAAAACAGAGAGTGGAGGCTATTGGCAGGCTCGCCGAACGGCCCTATTTCGCCCGCGTATGGGTGATACAAGAAGCTGTTGCTGCCAGAGTTGCCGTCGTCGTCTGCGGGGATGAGTCTATGGACTTGATAGAGTTTTCTCGAGCGTTCAGTCGACTTACCGGCTCCGGCTTGTACCCGCACGCACTTGCAATCAATGTGACAGGACTTGGGAACTGGCGAAAGTACTTTCAACGTCCGCCATCCAAGGATCGAGATGATGCAGTTGATCTTCAGGCACTGCTCATGTACTCTCGCGACAAACTCTGCCAAAATGCCCGAGACAAAGTATATGCGCTAAGGGGAATTAGTACACAACGCTTTGCCGAGGGAGTGATTGTGGACTATAAGAGTCCCGTTGAGCGCGTGTATATCGATTGCGCCAAACACTGGCTTAGCATCCGTTCCGACTTGCGAGTTCTCTCGACCATTGAGCCTCGTCATTCCGCAAACCCATCTGCTCTCAAGCTCCCGTCCTGGGTACCCGATTGGTCGCAGCACAATCATCCTTCCGGTGTCATGCAGAGATATTTTCGTTTTCTTCCGGGAAAAATGTTTCGCGCTTCGGGCAAATCAGTCGCAAATGTCAGCTTTGACGAGAAGCATGATGTACTCGCGATAAAAGGCAAGCGCTTCGACACCATCAAGCGAGTCATCTCAGCACACCCCACGCTACTAGGTACTGGCGATGAAAAGACGCTTTTGACGCCTTCAAAATTTCTGGGTTTTCTAGATCAGTTGGGATATCAGGATGTGTACGGGCACACGGGCGAGGCCTTCCCTAATGCAGCGTTACGGACTGTGACAGCAGACCGCACGGGATTGTCTGCCCGAGTGGCGGACAGTTACCGATGCAAATACCTTACCGCCTATTCTAATTGGCGACTGGAAAGCGATAGCTCCATCACCGACCTACCGGAGGGCGCCTGGAAGGAACTCTCTAACTCGGTAGCACAAATCCTTGACGACAAAGATCTGTTCATCACCAGTAACGGATACATGGGAGTCGCGCGTTCAGGGTTTGCTACCGGAGATCTAGTATGCGTTTTACTTGGGGGTGAAGTACCGTTCATCCTTCGGCAGCTCGATACTGAACGAGAAAGCTTTCGAATGGTTACAGAATGCTACGTTCACGGCATTATGGACGGAGAGTTGATGCACGGCGGCAATGATGCGAAGGACGAACTGTTCTGCATCTCATAGTGAAGCAGGTATTGATTGGTTGGAAGAGCGTTGTATTCGAGTGCAGTGCCTGTTCACCCGAGAAGGTATGTCATTACGTGTGGATGACCCCCGCCACGATAAGCGCTAACCTTCCCGAGATCCGTGGACGCGACTGGCCAGCCATAAAGACCACACCTCGCCATATCTCAGCTGCAGCCAAGTCCTTAGCTCCAATCAACCTTTCGTAGGCCTGTGCGACTCGCAGCTATGCTGCACATAGGGACGCCACCTATGTGGCCCTATCTCAATAAGCAATTCGCGTGGCGGGGGCATGTATCAATTTGCAGGAAGATTCTCACTTTTTCCTTTCAATACGAAAATCTTGATGAACGGAATGTCGAACCACAGTTTCGATGAAGAAGATGCTCTCGCCAGATTTGACAAGCTGGCAGCAATGGGCATCATTGCCTATGGACCTTCACGTGCAGTACAGGTGATGGACGCGGGGTTCCGGGTACGTACCTTCATCTAAAACATCAACAATCCCTAACAAGCAGTATAGTTCGAGTTCCGCATCTGCCCTACATGGGCCAAAAAGCCCTTGGAAGTCAGCGACGTCCTCAAACTTGACGACGATATTCCAGAGCCCGAGAAATTTGGACCTGGTAGTGACATCTTCCGGAGTCATCCAGATCAGGTGATCAAGACCATCAACAATACCCATATGCTGGCTTTGAACATATTTCCAGTCTTTCGGCCGCAATACCTGCTCCTTACGATGGATACCTTTCGTTCGCAAAATGAATGGCTACATCATGAAGACATCGAAGCTGCATGGGCGTTTCTTCAATCAACAGCGAGCCCTCATTTCGCCATGTACAACTGCACTAAAGATGCTGGCTGCAGCAGATATCATAAGCACTTGCAGATCATGAAGAAGCCAGAAGCCTGCGAATCCGAGTTTCGCTTCTTCCCGGATGTAAGCGATACTACGACAGCCATTCCGTACGTCGTTTTCGTGGAACGGCTTTCCGGTGGGGCCGCAGTAGACAGCAAAGCGATACTGGAGGTATACCTCAGTCTCATGAAGAAGTGTCGGAAGGTTCTCAAGATCCCCGAAGATCAGGACAAAGTGCTATGCCCTCATAACGTTATTCTCGATAAAGAATGGATCGCTGTTATCCCAAGGCGGTCAGGTAACGTTGAGGGCATAGGCGCCAATGCTGCTGGAATGATGGGCATGCCTACCATATCCAACAGCATGCTGTTCAAAAAGTGGACGGACATTGGTCCAGCGGAAGTGCTGAGTAGGTTGGGTGTACCCACCAATGATGTGAGTAGGCAAGAAGTAGCTGGACCCCTCAGCGAGGGGGATCAGACCTAAGACATCTTCATCTTCAACGGCAGCTCACTATCCGCTATAACAGGGCGTATCGTATCGCAAGGTTGCCGGATAACTGGAAGTAGAGGTGTGAGAGGCACGGGTACCTGAAGGCGCCAGTAGTGCCGCGCTAACCGCCCCCGCTCTTGGCGCGCACCCAGGCGGCATCAGAGTGGGCGATGCACTGAGACGACAAAGGGTGATGTTATTTTCATTCTGCCTTAACCTGTCTTGGCTATCTACCAAGACACGGTTCCGGGTCGGTCGGCTTCCAGTATGACAGATGACGTCGCGTTTGTTGCATCGCTGCTACCTACCTAGCTATACTTGAGCATTACCACGTATCGTGCTCTTCCTGTTCGCCTTCTTACTTCGCTCATTTCTCGTTTCCGCGTTCTTCACAGAGACTGCATCTTTCACAACATCATGACATCAACACTTAGTTCGGCCGCATGGGAAATAGTTCCGATCCCATCGAGCGTAGCCGTGCCTACACCCACGTCTTGTTCTCCAGGTATCGCTCCTAATGGTCTCAACATTACGGGACTCACAGGTCAGATCTGCCAAGTCAACGTTCCTCCAAACGATGTCAACATCACATCCTGTTGCAACGATGATGCCGAGGTCCGTATCTTGAACGACTGCACTCAGTGGTGTGAGGCAGACAATGGGAGCGATTTCTTCGACTGCGTCAACGATATGGCTCCTTCTTCGTACCCTTTCCTTGGCGGGCCGTGTCTAGTCGTGTCTGCAAGTCCGACTACAACGATGTCATCATCCAGCACCGGAATCGCATCGACACCGTCTACTTCCCAAGAGACTCAGACGCCCGAGTCCACTGAGGCGTCGCCTTCCACCACTGAGTCAGAAGAGGATGGCGCTGAAGCAACGGAGTCTCCCGATGTCGAAGGTATGCATCTAGTCACCTGCTTCTCTACAACGTGCTAACTCAAGTAGACGCCGCCATCATCAACCGGGGCCAGCATACGCTTGGCATGACAGTCCTTGCTGTAGCTACAACACTTAGCCTCTTGGCTTGGCTTTAGTCAAGAACACGTTTCGAATACGGAAGGAGACATGTACCGATCTGCATACATACAAACATAGTGTAAGAATGATATTGCCTTGCAAATCAGTAGAATGCATCTAATCCATCCCCACGCACCTTTTACACAATCTTCTCTTGTCATATGACGTGGTAAAATGAGCTGCTGCAGAGCAATCATCGAATTCAGTCTGAGTAGGGTAGCACATCAGGCCTACGCTTTGCTGATAGCAAGCACATACCATAGCATACTTAAAGCGCCCAGAAGAACGTAGCGGAATCATTCATATCTCATCGCCCATGCACGAATTCAAAGGCCATGTCGATAATGTGCGCAAAGAAGCGATTCAGTATCTACAAGAACAAGGCTTCTTCAATGTCAATTCGAGTGCAAGTAGTCTCAGCAACGAGATCGCACCAATCTTCGCTCGCGACCGGTTCATTGGCGTCTCACAGAACATGTACGAAAGCATGAGGCCTGCTCTGCAACTTGCGAGTCGATTTGTGGGAGACGAACGAGTTCTCGACTACTTCTGGCATCAGATGAGAAGCAGGACACTACCTTCCCAGACCTTCGTAGGAGACGCCCCGCCCCCACTAATTTACGTTTCAAACTATCGGCTAGTAGAGAAATCCGCCTTGATGGCCGAATGGAGGGAGAAACTGGACAACCTAACTAGCGTTTTGACTTGGAAGGTGCAAGAATCCGACCGTACACCGACAGACATGGATTTGGGGTTAACCTTCGCTTTTGATGAACTCCGAACAACCTTCTCAGACCGCACGACCAATAACAAGACTTACAACGAGATTCTAAGACTTTGCAATTGGCGTGAAGCCGATAGGAGCGCCAAGGTACGTAACGGTATGCTGGCTTATTGCGCCGATATGATGGGCGAGGGCTTGCGGTTTCGACCAGAGAGGGGAGCACCGACAAGTCCCTGTGTACTCCTGCACTCATTTTTTCGCAAAGTGCTCGATCCAGACTCCGAGACAACTGTGACAGATACTTCTGATCCTCCCCCTCCATCTAGCGTACAGAACCTTGGACCCCAATTCCTTCTCGCCCACGTCTTGCTCCACGAGTTGGCCCACTGTCTCGACAAATTTCCGACCTTCACGTGCAACGACCCCCGAGGTCTATCGATGGAAGCTTTTGCTAGCTAGGAAGAAGCCAGTGTCTTCCAATTTCCCGAATGTGGTCTCTCTTGGGAACGGGCAATCCTCCAAGGTCGTTGCATCAGATTCCATCAATTCGTCGCTGACCAAAGCAAGATAGCAATGAAATACACAGATATCGCTGCCCTTGCCGTCGCGAGTTTCAGCCACAAAGACGATCGCGGGATTGCTACATCGTCTACTTTCACCGTTGGTGAGAAAACTTACAAGGCCGCGACTGACTTCACGAGCTATGAGAAAGCATTGATCCCGTGGCAGTGGGTTTCAGACTGGTTTCAGGAGTCGCATTGGCATACCAGTCGGACTCGTGAACAAGTACTGGCCCTGCCTTCTCTGGAATGGAAAATGTCCTATGAATATCCTGCGCCAGACGACCCTTCCACGCTCGCTGATGAGATTGTGAGAATCCGGGTGAAAGTACCTCACGAGAATGAGCAGGAATAGAGGTGCATGCAAAGCTGCAGAGAAATGTAGAGTATGCAGCGTAGAAATTTACACCTGCCAAAAATACACACAGTCCCTTAAGCAGCTTGCTTTGTTGTCTCAACTCTCTCCTTCCCAAAAACATCATGCTTCGCATCCTCCACAATTCTGCACTCATACAGTTTGAACTTTCGTGCCGCCACTCTAGCTTCAAAGATTTCATCTAGCTCCTCTAGTGATCGCGCTTTCGTCTCCGGGAGGAAGAAGTAGAACCAGGCCACACATATGAAATTCGAAGCTGCCCATATGTACGTGTATTGCGGGCCCTGCGATCGTGTTAGCGTCACAGAGAAGAGAAAGCATGGTTACCCACCCAGTCAAGGTCCTGAGGGTTGATGAAGTATGGCGAGCAGAACCCGATCAGCCAAGCCAGGAAGTACCCAAGCGCATTCGCGCTGCCAACCGTCCAAGCTCGCAGTCTTGAACTAACAAGCTCTGTCGCCAGGGGACTTGTCGCAACGCCCACCCCGGCGTTGTAGCAAAACAGGAACAGTGCCGTAAAAGCTACTAGCACATTTCCAGTCTCCACTGAGTTAGGTTTGACACTACTTGCGATCCCGCAAGCAAGCTCGCAAAGACCGCATGCTATTGCCCCAGCGATCATGATCGTCCTTCTGCCAAACAACTTGTTCATGGAGTAAAGACCAAGGTGAACGCCCACGAAGCCAATACACGAGTTCATAATGCTGTACTCGAAGGCTTTCGTGATCCCGGCGATAGCGAGGAAGTAGGTTTGATAACCAATGAAGAACCAGACGCCACTCGCTGACTGGCTTGCGATCGTGCCCCAACAGAGTAGTGTGCGTCTCAAGTCGTTGCCGCGGAAAAGGTCCAAAAAGCCTGAACTTTGACTGAGCCTACGCTCTTCTTCTACACCACGGATCATTTCCGCCCACTCCAACTCTAGCGCTTCGCCATGATCGAAACGAAGACGCTCCAAGGACTTGCGCGCCGCATCATGTTGGTCACGATGTAGAAGCCATCGCGGACTCTCGGGGACGAAGAAAAGCGCTGTGCCGAGTAGAACCGGGACGATGAACATGCAGGCGAGGGGGACTTGGTAGGAGAGTTTCGAGAGGTAGCGTAAAGTGTAGTTGTCGATGATAGAGCCGATGATGCTTCCGAGATTCACGTAGAAAGAGAAGAGTCCGACCATGATTCTGCTGATTGTCAGTATAAACAGTGCCTGGGAAGACTGAAGAACATACTCCCGAAGATGCGCCGGTGCTGCTTCGCTACAGTACACCGTCGAGAACACGACGAAGAAGCCGTTGGAGAAGCCCAACAACAGACGACCTACGTATAAACCGGCCTTGGAGGTAGAGCCGATCTGCACCGACACTGCAGCCAAACATATGATGCATGCGAGCCACAAGGCCTTTCTGCGACCGAAGTAGCCGCCAAACACACCCGCAGCAATGGCAGATACGCACGAACCCAGATTTAGCAAAGAGGTCATGAGCTGTTGCACCGTCGACTATCTTGCGCGTCAGCAGCTTTCGCGATGTCATAGGCTATGTGGACTTGCATCAATACCATAGCCAAGCGGGCTTGTCGGGTCCTCATATCCAAACACCATCAAAAACCCAGGCATCGCCTGCAGACCGCCTACTGCAGCAGTATCAATGCCGTACTGCATGCTAGCAATAGCGACGGCGGAGCATATGAGTAAGCATTTGCGATTCGCCCACAAGGACGTCTCCTGAAGTTTCGCCATTATTGCTCACGCAGAGACTGACCGGTATCCATCTGCGAGAAGAAGGGATCGCAGCCTTATACAGCGAAACATGCGAGTCATGCGAGGTTAGCATCGTGGGGCAGTGAGGAGAAACCCATGTCTTCTCCGCACTGGCAGGGGTGTTATGCAAAGCTGTATGGAAATGCCCGACACCTTGCCATTTCGAGAGTTGATCAACCTCGCGAGTCGGCGCATACATACAATCCATGAATGATATCGTATCTCAGCCAATCCCTACTCGTAGAACGTGCTGAACGTGTACTTGGTTTCGCGATCATACTTCGCCAAGTCTTGCCGTGCTTGCAGCGCCTCTCGGATAACGGTTTGCTTAATCTCTTCGTGTCTGGGTGTAAATTTGACTTTGAATGGCTGGGGCCGCCAGTTCGATCCGCTCCTGCTAAACGTCAGTACCGATAACGCTTCATAGCCTTGGGGTTTCGAAACACGACTTACGTGAATTTGAAGATGTCAACAGGCACTTCCTCTCCCGTCTTTGGGTCCACCTCTGGCTCCAACTTGTATGCCCACACCAATCGCGCGATGCTGAGATGCGTACCCTGCTCAGCCAACGCTTGACCAGCACAGCTTCTTCTACCCCATCCGAAAGTCATATATCCCTTCTCACCAGGAAACGGTCTCTTATCATCCGTGTCGAGAAATCTCCTTGGATTGAAGCGATCAGGATCGGGGAATTCGCGCTCGTTGTGATGTATCGCCCAGACGTTGCCCTGCACCCAAGTACCCTTCGCGATATAGTAGCCGTTGTAGTAGTCATCTTGAGTGGGTGCATGAGCAGTACCTCCTATAACCGCCACTGAACGCCAGCGAAAGACTTCTTTGACGAAAGCGCGGAGATACGGAAGATCATCATCGAGCGTCGGACTTCGCGATCGACCCACCACACGGTCTAGCTCTTCCCAGGCGGGTTCAAGGGTCTCGGGGAAGGCACGCATTGCCAGTACCGCTGTTTGTAGAGTGCTACTTGATGTGTCCGCTCCAGCACCCAATAGGTTCGCGGCGAGATTGGAGATTTCGAGAGGATGAAGATTGAGGTGAGGTGCTTCGCGAAACAGGTACTTGGAGTAGTTCTCTTCTGGACATTGCTTGGCTTCTTCAGCCAAAGCATAGAAGAAATCGTTGCGGCCGTATTTGGGCTTTGCTGAACGTCGAGTATCACGCTTCCAGGGAGCCATCCAATTGGGAAACTTGGCCAGCCCTGTCTTTGTTAGTATGAATTTGAGTAGGTGGATTCGTAAATTACATGGGAAGGTCTCCATCAGTCGCGGAAAATCCTTGGCGACGACCGCCATCTTAGCAGAGGTCTGCATCTGAGCAATAACTTCAGTGATCAACGGATCTTGTATATCTCCAATCCGACGTCCAAAACCGATGATCGATACGACGCTCGTAGCGTATCGCTCGAAATGAGCGACGAATTTGTCGGGTGTCTCTAGCAGATCACATACTACTATCTTGTTTTCGTCGTCTTGCAGGCTTCGATGACGTTTGATCTGGTGGCATTAGTAAGAGAAAGATGCTTTCTTGCATCATGCTTACCTGCTGTATCCCAACACCTTGGTGGGTAACTCTCCTGAGGTCGCGAAACCTTTCACGCTGTACTTTTGTGTAGGTGTATTTGTGCAGCAGATTCATTTGGCCGGACATAAGCTCAGCGAACATCAGCATGCGGGGTCTAGAGTTGTAGATGTTTGCCCGCTTGACGAGAAGCTCATCAGCAGTCCACGCGTCATTGACCCAGACTGTCGGTCTCCTGTGCTGTGTTATTCACTGCTCAGAACGGCAAAACTGCTGTGGAACTAACCGCCCGATCCAGAACGTGATGAGCGGTGACTTGTATTGCTTCGATAGTTGTTCCATGAGATACCAAGGCTTTTCATCCGGCAGACTGAAGGTGTTCCCAACAATAGGCCAAGGCAACGGTCCTGGAGGCTGTTGGCGTATTAGTGACAGACTCGACATGAAGCTGGCAAAGGAGTAAGCAACTACCATTCGCCATCTTAGGTACAGCATGCGGCTGTAGTCGATTATAAGGGCGATGATGCCCGACAGAAGTAGGTAAGTAGCCCACATGCTCGCAATTACAGAAAGGCGATTATCTCAATAGTAGACCGAGAAGCTGGTGGGTGCAGAGAGCTTGATGCCAGCAATGATCATGATGTTGAGATGAGAAGCTTATACACGCGCCTTCACGTAATCATACCCGTTGCTTCGTTTTCGAATGCTACGGCTGGGGATCATCCCCACATTACCGTGGTGGGGCAGCCCGCTTTGGCTGTTCGCGGGAGGGCCGGAAATAAAGACATGCGTAATCCGCAATATGTGTATCGCGCCGGCATATCCAATTCGCTGCGAAAGCTACCAGACGCGTAGATAGGTATTGACGGGCTGGGTGAGAAGCGGGGTATGTGTAACGCAGTCCCTGTTATGTCTCCTGTGCTGGATTCCGTTGAACTAGAAATACGTGGAACAGACTCCGCTGGCCAGCCGAAGAAGATCCTTGGTTTCGAATTAGGACAGTATGCGCCTTTCGCTCAGACTGATGCATAGCGATGTTACGGCTCGACTTTCGGTGCGGTAGGTATGTTACTCACGGAGCCAGAACGGCTGGTCTTCGCCCAATGAAGCTCCGATGCATGGTATGTATCAAAGCCTAATAGTTTGTTGTGTCAAGATGCGGGCATATGCGGTGTTGATGCAGCGTTCTCGCCCAGCTGGTGTTGAGCAATCTCGCCAGATCTTGATGACG